GATCCATCACCCGCAATCTAATCCGGTAGAGCGTATGCATTCCGTTCTGAAACGGATACTGAGAGCTCTCTGCTACGAGCACAAATGCGACTGGGAAGCGTGTATTCCTCCCGCTATGTTCGCTTTAAGATCAGCTCCTCATGAGAGCACTGGTTTTAGCCCTGCAGAACTTGTGTATGGCAGGAGTTTGAGAACACTATTGCAAATGCTACGCGAGTCCTGGGAGAGATTCGATGAGGACCCTAATGTAGTTGCGTATGTTCTAGACCTCCTTCAGAGGCTTGGAAAAACGAAAGATCTTGTGGAAAGCCACATGAAGGCTGCACAAGTATTGTCGAAGGAGTACGACAAATCGGCGAAGAAGCGCACATTTGAAGTTGGTAGTCAAGTAATGCTGCTGCGGCCGTCCAAAAAGAACAAGCTTGAGGTTCATTGGGAAGGGCCTGCCAAAGTAATATCGAAGCTTTCTGATACCAATTATGAAGTGAAATTAGGAAGGCGGCCGAACAAAATTTACCACAGTAACTTGATGAAACCATACGTTCAACGTCAAGCGGTCGTAAATCTGCTGTTGAATGCTGCAGAGGAAGAGGAAGAAGAAATTTTGAATTCTAGTGATGTAATCGAAAGGGGATCGGAGGTAATCTTGGAGCAGTTGAACCTAGAGCCTAGGTTAAGTGAACACCAGAAGGAGGACCTGAGAAGGATTGTTTCCGAGTTTCAAGACGTGTTTTCGGACCGTCCCGGAAACACGACGGTGATCGAGCACGATATCGAGCTAACTTGTGAGGAGCCAATCCGTAGCAAGCCGTATCGTTGTTCCCCCGTGCAAAAGCAAATCATGAAAGAGGAGATCGATAAAATGCTGGAGTTGGGAGTCATAGTACCGGGCGAGAGTGACTATACATCCCCTCTAATATTGGTTCAGGTGCCACGAAAAGATCCGAGGCCATGCATCGATTACCGGCGTCTTAACGCAATAACTCGAGACCAAACTTACCCGATACCAAACCTAGAGGAGAGGGTGGAAACTGTGTCACAGTCCAGCTATATTTACACGTTATACCTCGTGCGAGGGTATTGGCAAGTCCCCCTTACAGAGCGTGCCAGCCGCTATGCCACATTTGTTTCTCCATTTGGAACGTATCGCCCACTTAAGCTGAGCTTTGGATTGAAAAATGCACCCTTTTGTTTTTTCAGGCTTAATGGACCGCGTTCTTAAAGGCCTCTCCGAGTTCGCTCTGCCGTATATTGACGATGTCGCCATCTTCTCCAACAACTGCGAAGAACATGTCGAGCATCTACGCGTCGTGCTGAACAGGTTGAGAAAGGCTGGCCTTACCGTGAAACCTACTAAATGTCACCTAGGGTGTGGTGAGGTGTCTTACCTGGGGCACGTTGTGGGGCGTGGCCGGCGTAGACCTTCAGAAATTAAGGTAGCCGCTGTCGTGAACTATCCACGACCAACCACAAAATCAGAGATAAGGGCATTCTTGGGCCTGGCTGGATACTATCAGCATTACGTGCAAAATTACTCTAGCATTGCCAGCCCTCTCACTGACGCGCTTCGAAAGTCCGAGCCGGTTAAAGTAGTATGGGACTCAGAAAAGGAGACTGCGTTTTGCCAGCTAAAACAGGCCCTAAGCGAAAAGCCTGTTCTCATGGCACCCGATTTCTCTAAGAGATTTGTGATTCAATGCGACGCGAGTGATCGCGGCATGGGAGCTGTATTGTGCCAGGAGGACGGTGCTGGTAACGAAAGGCCAGTTTTGTATTTAAGTCGAAAACTCAGCGGCAGGGAAGAGGCGTACAGTACCTCTGAAAAGGAATGCGCTTGCCTCGTGTGGGCCGTTCAAAAGCTAGCTTGTTATGTCTCCGGTTCGAGGTTTGTGGTTGAAACGGACCACTGTCCTCTAACCTGGTTAAATAACATGTCGCCTAAAAGTGGCCGGTTACTGAGGTGGAGCATGATACTCCAACAGCACAACTTTGACGTTCGCTACAAAGAAAAAAGGCTAAACACTAATGCAGACGCATTGAGCCGTGCGTTTAGTTAGTACCTTCTCAACCTTTCGGTTTCTCGCTGGCGATTCGGGGCAAAATTTTGACCTCATCACGACCTGGGCTGAGCGCTCTCGTTCAGAGTGATCTCAAGGGGCCAACTTTGTGGTATTCTAATTCGTTACGTTGTTGTACGTGGAAAAAAAATTGAGTTGTCATTTTAAGAGTCTTGTGTCCCACATGTGCCTCTTGATGTAGAGGGAACAAAATTCCGATAGACACGTAGATAGGTATATGTTGTACTATACTTTGTCTGGTGTTCTGTCGGGTGACCGAAGGCACTTGCGTGTGTCGTGTGTTGTCTGTTGTCGATCCGTTCTTGGCAAGTTGCAGAACCATCGACAAGTGCTGAAACCGAAGATGGTCAGAAGAGACGAGTGAAGCTGGTCGACAAGTTGTGGCGACAAGCCAGTGGAGCTGGGATCCGTCGTCAAAAATGGGATGTGTTCCCGGAACAGTTTGGAGCTGTATTCTCCCCATGGCCCTGGAGGCGAACCTGGAGGGACCTGGCGAACGAGCGCACCTGACATCCGAGCCCCGTGGAAGCAGCTCGTCTTTCCGGTGCATTGTCTGGCGGCGGGGGTGCTGTTATGCCAGCGAGTCCTCGTCAAACGTCCGTGCCTCTGAAAAAGGCAATCGGGGTCAAGGCCAGCCCGCAGTCCGCCTGGCGCGATCAACTCGACGGCGTGAACACGCGCGGCGCCCTCTGGCCCACGTGCATTGAGTCAGCTGCGCACGTGACAGCGAGCCGGCGTCCTCGTGTCTGGTGGTCTGACGCATGGCGCGGCAACCCCATTGGAGGAGTCTGCCCTGACGACCAGCGGCGCTTCTGATTGGACATTTTGGTTGGACCCGGTGCAAATAAAAGAAGCCCTGCGGCGTGTCGCGATCGGCGGTCCTACGAGAGAGGAGTCCCCATGTCGGAGAGCCGACATGTGTGTGAGTCGGCGGTCTTAGGCGAAAAGTTGACCTATGTATTAGAGAGGAGAGCTCGGCTCTTCGAGTCTATGTCGGCCCCAGTGCCGAAATTGTAACGCCTCTGTATATATGCTGTACATAAACCTTGTTTAACTCACCGTCGTCTCGTCCGCTCGTCTTATCAGCTCTGCGCAGAAGCAGTCGCGAGCTGATAAACATATCCTACGCAACAGCACCCACTACGAGTCCTTAGAAAAAAAAAAGCGCAGTAAAGTGTGTGCCTTTTGTAGTGAGTGGCCCACTTTGACCCAAGTAGGAACTTATGACAATAGCGTGCTCTGACGCCCGATCGCAATGTGCGCTTCTACCCCGCTTTATTACTGCGGTATTACGTGTTGCATTGTGAAGCATGCATGTATACAGGACGAGTGCGTTTGCAAAGCATGCAAGTTGATTTCACTGCGTTTCCAATTAGAGGAAACTATCTTCACTATATTTCCAAATAGATTCGTGGCTCATCGACGCCATCTGTGGCGTTCAGGGCTCCAACCAACAAGAAATCTGACTTGCAGCAATGAATTTACGGTCCAAACCATAGGTCCCCCCTTGATTTTATGGAGGAAACGAAGCTCCATAATTTTGTCTAATATGTATTGATGCCGTAGGGCAAACTTCTGCAATAAAAAGAAAAGTAGATTCGTGGCTCTATGATGTAATACTTGCTTGCCATGTAAATGACCCGAGTTTGATGCTCACTCAGACGCAGAAGTTTTTATTTACTTGCACCATTCTAAATTTTTCGGTCACGCACAACATAATAATTTTATTGCGATAAAATTTCTGCGAATTTCTGCAACCATGCTATCTGAGAAACAAACTCTTCACCGCTGTCGCGTTAAAGCCTATAGGGATAAAAGCATTTTCTGGTGATAATAAAGCTCATTACTATTCTCTGTCACAATCAGCAGTATTAACATGTTTTCGCAAATGCATCGACATGTATACGATGCCATTAGATTTAGCACTGAAGCGGGTAGGTCTGTTGACAACTTTTCTTTAGAATTGCTTATATCTGTCTTGTCAACGTTAATAAAGAACAATGGTGCCCTGCACTTGCAAAAATAAGGAGTGTACGTCGGCCCTTCCTTAGCCCCGGTTTTAACCGTTCACTCACTAGCTGAATGAAGCGCGACCAAAGCGACAAGCATTAGGGACACAGGAAATTGTCCCTTGTGACTAGCACTTATAAGTGCGACCACATGTGGTACGTATGCTCCTTACATTCGTGTATTGAAGCCGATTAGCATGCTTCACCTACAGCTCCAATTTACTCATCAATAGAGGTGTACGAAAAATAAGAGCTGTGCCTTGAACCATAATTGCCAGGCTTGCGTTATAACATTCAGAAAGATAGACAACCCGGAAAATAATATTTCAAGTAAGAACTAATAACTACGTCGCAATATATATAAATATATATATATATATATATATATGGCTAGTTTCTTTTCTTTCGTTCTTTGTTTGGTGGAGATTTAGGTTACGCTTACTCGGATAGCAAAAAGAAGATGTGTAGAAAGGAATGAAGAAAGCGAAATTCGTGCGATTATGGTCAGATAGATAAAGACTCTGGCAACCTCGACAAACGACCTATATTCTGGCATTAAAATTGAATTAGACACTTTCATCTTTTGCTCCGAGCCACAGCATCACAGCTGAGCGTGCGTATGCAGTATACTCAATCTCAATTTTCTCGGATGTCTCACAGTGGTTTCTCATTCACTTATTCGAGACGGCATTCAGCGCAACGCGAGAAGGACGCCGGCTTTAGGGAGGGGGCCTCCCAATTCATCCGTCTTCTTCAAGGCCGTGCACACTCCCCGCATCGTTTGCTTGAACATCTCTCTCGCTAGAACTACGTCATTAATTATGCTCTCGTTTCTCGTTGCGACCTTCCTTCCAGAGGAACCCAGATTTGAAAGCAGAAAAGAAAGTCTTCCGGCTCAACAGCCACACTCACAATGTTGTCCGGCAAGAAACAACCCCTCCTGCTGCCCTTCGGCGCAGTCCTGTTGTGCTGTATAAAGCAGAATGCTGCGCAGGACTACATCACGGTAAAGACGGTCAACGGGCACGTTCGTGGCATGCTCCTAGACGTGGACGGTGCGTCCGTCGCGCAGTTCCTCGGCATACGGTACGCGGAGCCCCCCGTTGGGCCACTTCGCTTCCGGAAGTCCCTCCCTGCCCGTTCGTGGAAGCCAGAGACTCTGGACGCCCTTGAATTCGGAAGTCCGTGCGCGCAAGCCAACGGTTCTTTGCCTCCGGTGTCGTGGCTCGTTCCGCGAGACAAAGTCAGCGAGGACTGCCTCTTCCTCAATGTCTGGTACCCGATGGGCGAGGGCCAGGACAACCTCGGAGTCCTCGCGTGGATTCACGGGGGCGGATATCGCGCCGGCACGGCATCCGATCCCGACTTCGACGGTAGAAAGCTTGCGGCTGTCGGAAACGTCGTTGTGGTCACCATCAACTACAGGCTCGGATCATTCGGCTATCTCTACACCGGGCCCGGCACGTCGACAGGCAACTACGCCCTCTGGGACCACAACTTGGCCCTCCGCTGGATAAGGGACAACATCGCAAGATTCCGCGGTGATCCCCAACGAGTGACGGTCTGGGGTGAGAGTGCCGGCAGTATAGCCATCGGTTGTCTGCTCCTGTCGCAGCAGAACGCGGGTCTCATTCACAGGGCCGTACTCTCCAGCGGTAGCAATTTCTGGCTTTTACCGCCCATGAACCCAGCTGGTCATGAGTTTGCCGACCGCATTGCTGGGCACGTAGGTTGCCTGGACTCCAAGAAGCCTTCTTCCAAAACACACCCTGCCCAAGTGGTCCGGTGCCTGCGGTCGTTGCCGGCCGACGCCATCATCGACGCTGAGCAAACGCAGTTTCCCGACGACCTCGTCACGTTCCGACCCTCCTTCGGCGACCAGTACCTCCCACTGCCGGACCTGACGACTCTGTCTAAGAGCATGTTCATTCCTCTGGACAGCCTGCTCGCTGGTGCCGTCACCGAAGAAGGCAGCCTATTTCTATATTTCAAGGACCACGTCCTCTTTGGCCCCTCGATGCCCAAGCTGACAAGGAAGCAGGCCTTTGACTTCGCTCTCGAACACTACTTAGGCGCCCTGCCCGAAGGTGTTCAGACGATGATCAAGGAGTTCTACCAGAACAACGTCACCAGCGACGAAGACTCGCGAGGTGTGTTCCGGTCGCTGATGGACATGGTGGGCGACTACCTCATCATGTGTCCAACCAAGTTCTACGCGGAGCTTTTCGCAAAAACCAATCGTCCCACCTACTTCTACATGCTGGACCACAGGTCCGAGAAAGGTCGCTTCCCGCCTTACATGGGATCGATGCACTTCGAGGACGTGCAGTACTTCTTTGGCCTGCCCTTCTTATTCCCCGACCGACACACGGACGAGGATCGGGCTTTCAGCCTACTCTGCATGCGAGTCATCGGTTCGTACGTCAACACAGGGTGAGTGTCTCGCAGATGAGAAGAATATACGGCGGCGTTATTCGGGATGAAAACGGAATGCTTAGCTCAGCGAAGCCAGCGAAATAACAATAATTCCTCGATATCGGACGGCTGGTGCAAACAGTGATTTCGTATTCATGACATGCGTGTATGCACACGGCGAGGCACGTACCGAATCTCCGCAATGCGAAGGCTGTCCGTGCAAGAGGTGTGGACAGCTATATCGGCCAGGTTCTCTGTGGTCATTCGTATGCTTGCAACGTGCGACAAATGCGATGAGTTTAACGCCTTTCTCTGAAGCCGATGTAATCGGATTCCACTGCATTTTTCACCCTCATCTCTTTGTAATTTATGGGTTCGTTTCTCAGCATTTCTTTAAAATAGGCTGTCATCGTGTTTTGTAAACGTGGCACGTGTTTCTTCTATAACTAAACGTAATGGGAGCTCTAATTAGTATTCTTATCTTCGCACACTCGTTTTATCAAAGGCAAAATTTAAGCCTCCAGCCTGGCTGGTAATAGTGAATCAATGAAAAGAACTACTGTTAACGCTTGTCCTCTTTGTTTCTTCTCCGCATCTGCTGTCTTTTTTGTGCGCTATTTCATCATACTTTAAGTCAGCCAGTACCAACCAGTTCAACTATCTGCTTCTTTAGTAGTGTCGGCAAATATGATGTGCGAATTCCTTCGTTTGATTTCGTTAATTCCTCATGCCGTGCACTATATAGCCACGATCGGCTATATAGCTTAAACGCTAACGCATCTGGGTTGAGCACTTCTCGGGCCATTATTGAGGCGATGGAAAAAATAACCTTGTAATATACTCTTACTGTGCACTTGCCCTATTTAAACCACGCTTAGTGCATGTCGCACAGCTAAGCCTAGGTACGCGGTTTCGATTTATGGCGACGGCGAACACAATTGATGGAATGGGTATATAATAATATCCGTGTACTTAAATAGCATCCATGTATACCATCCATGTAAAAGCATTCGTGTGCTTAAATTTAGGGTCTCGCTAAAGAACTCCAGGTGTTCGAAATTCGGAATCCATTACGGCGCACCGCGTAATCGCAATTTTGTTTTGGCTAGTAAAAAACAGATTAACGAAGTATTTTAACCTGCCTATAGTACAACAAAATGCCAAGAAAGCTTTATCTTGTAAGCTTGTGAACGGTATTGCGTCATTGCCTCATGCACTGCAGCCAGGTGAATTATACATTATTTTATACGTAATATGAGTTAAATGAAGACAGACATCTAGACGAGGTAACCGCCATATTACCGACATCAACAAGGTAACCGACATTACTGTATGAGGCGTTTTCTGCTATTTGGGCGTGCCTAACAGGCTGCAACCCGCACGTTCAGGCCTTAAAGTATCTGTCCGGCGTTTCATATAGGCGTGAGCAGGGTTCCCCTTCAGTATGAAGTCAGTGTATGGGGCAGACTTGAGCCCCCCCCCCCCCCCCACTTGGTTGAAAAGAGTGGTGACCGCCCCCCCCCCCTCCCGTGCACACGCCTATCTGTGGCGGCCAAAACCTTGTGTCTTTCAGAACACAATCATCAATTACACTGTTTAATGCCACCCCCTCCCTCTCATTCGTGGCGATCGGCCAATCAGAGGGACGGAATAAATCTGTCAGTGATTTCGCGTCACGTTGCAGGAATATCAATATATGATAGCCCTCAGACACACTCGCATACATCTTGCGTCGCTTTAGAGCCGCAGACTTTTCCTTTTCATTGGTCTTGATCTTCTAGCAGCCTTGCTGAAATAGGTACCTTTGAATGTTCAATGCTGCAGAAGACGCGTGAAAAACCAATTCGGTGTGACGATAGGGCTATACATCATACATTAGGCGCTAAGTTTCCAAATAGTTTCCTACAGCCACTATTTTTAGTGGGTCACTTCTTGCGTGGCTAATATGCAGACTCTTGTTCGCGTAGCCCTGTCTATTTCGGGTACCTGATTGCATTCTGTGTGCGCGTGGACATATATTCATATGATTGCCCAAGAGCGCTTCAGTCTACAGTTATAGCTCGCTCGCCATGATTGAGTGTCTCGCTATATATAGGTAATCTTAGCGGTGCCTGCTCGACGAAAAAAAAAGTCAAAAAGATACGCTTGTGACGTGCTTCACGAAAATTCAAAAAGAGGGACACTCCGAAAATCGTTCTCCGAAGAAAGTAACTCGGCCCTGCGAAGCGAAACGAGAGCGACAGTGCTTAGCCGTCTTCCGCCGTAGAAAACCACGTGTGCCATAAAGTATATATATATATATATATATATAATATATATATATATATATATATATATATATATATATATATATATATATATATATATATATATATACGGCTGGTTATTTTTTCATCCACTTTTCTTTCTTCTTATTTACATTCCATTGGTTCTAATACCTTCCCCTGTACATTCCTTGGCATTACTGTCTGTTAGATCTCATAAGTATTGTGTCAAAACACGGAAAAACGAGCCCTTAGGTATACACTTCTTTCCCTTATAATATATATATATATATATATATATATATATATATATATATATATATATATATATATATATATATATATCGTGCACCGTTAATCTATAATCTTTGCTTCCTTCTCTGTCTCAATATCGCTCGTAATATAGCAACTCGTACCTTCTTTTACGCACCTAATCCTCTTTTTACATCTTTAGCTGCTGTTCAATATTATTTTCTTTCATTCTTTTCTCGCTATACCAGCGTCGTTCTTCAATGCAAATTTTGCGCAAGGAAAGCGAAATCTGGCGTACGCCTTCATGTGGTAGTATCACAGGCAGCGCGGACTGGGCTATTCACTTGGCTGAAGTTTGCCAAGTGAAGTTCTTCGTTTTCACGGGAGCTTGCTCCGTGATTCCTCGTTTCCGATGATGATGCTATTTCACTAGTCCGCTTTCGTGCGCGAGTCAGCGAGCTTTAAAGTGACGACGGAAATGCGTAGATCTTAACGGCTCTCTTACAGGTATTTTTATTATTTCTCATGGGTTTATTCCACGACACGTTGAATAGTCATAGTCGTCATATTCGTCTTCGGTTTCGTGACGTATGCCCTTCTCTTGCTTTTTGTTCACTTTTTTCGATTTTCGCTTTTGCTCAGGGTGTATGGCGGCATACTCAGGGCGCCGACATTATCGTCAACAAAATTCCTGCTTTAAAGGGGCTCTCCAAAACCTTTTCGAGTAATCATCGAATAACTCCATTAAAAGAACTTATTATAAGCTTCACGTACCAAAACTGTTGGGGAAAATATTGGAGGATGCTTGAGCTTTGCCTTCCAGTGTAGAACGTGACAGTGTAATGCGGGCCCATGCACATCAGCTTCTCAATTTCTATAAGCGCAGCTTCGGTACTCGGTGGATGCTTCAACCATTCCGCGAGAAAACAAACATCTGTGTGCGTTACATTGGCCGTTTGAAACTATCCTAGAACTCCTGCTCCAAGTACAGCTGCAAAATGCCCACAGCGTCATTACTCTTCCTCATACAAATCATCAAACGACTCGGCAACACACCAATCTTCGTAGCTGCTTTTGCAACTTTTGCACTGGTACTTTTGCAACTTCTCAGCACTTTGTAATGCGCAGCTGCTCACTTTGCTGATATTTTTGCAACATGTCAGCGCTTTGTGATAAGTGGGCCTTCAATGCCCGCACTCGTTGTGCAATTCACACGTCTTGACGCCTGGCTTGATTCTACGCTTCTGCCCCGCAAGCGTTAAGGAAACTCCTCCCTTTATACGTGAAATTCGTATATAGTGTTTCTCTTTTTTTTTTCGAGGCAGTTTTAAGCAATAGCATGTCTCGATCCGCTGTTTGCTCCGTAGACGACCTGCCTTTGATTCTCACTCGAACCAAAGATCCGTTTTCAATTTTTAGTATTTATTAACATGAAAATGTTTGATAACGGGGTCCACTATAAGGCTTCAGTGATATATTTCGTCAAGGAAATGACATAGAAAAAATGCGCATGATCGGATAGCAAGGGAAAACTTGAAAAAAAAAAGTTTTGTCAATGAAAGTTTAACACGCGACGACATATGACGGGCACGTCAACCGCCATGATCATTGGTCAAACACTGTGTATGCTTTTCAAACAAACCCTCACGCTTTCCTCACACAGCGGTCTCGGTCGATGCGATGGTGTCGGCGCCTGGTTGCTGGAAGTGAAGTATAATGTCTGATTAACGCGTGGCCTCCGCGATCAGCTTCTGCGAGATGTTATTCATACGCGTCTGTCCAATTCGTCACCTTCCCAACAAGAGAAACACAATTTTCACAACGCCTTAGAGTGGTCCTGCATGCAACACTTTTTAAGTAGCCATGGGATGCATTTAGTAAGGGAGCTCGTTACCTAACGAACTTTAATCACCGCAAACATTTCTAGAATCTGTCCAGTACAATCAGAGTTACAGTGATTTGTCTGCAATTGCTTTCTCTCATCCCGGCGAAAGCGCTGGAAGTTAAACATAGAAGGATTGAACGCGGCACGAAAATACGTCACGTGAGGCTTAAGGAGCACTTTATCCCCTCTTTTTTTTTTTTTTGAACGTGTGGTTTTTTTATTATTATTGCAATTGCGCGTGCTCGCACGTGCAGGTCGCGGCCTTCCGTGGCGGACAACTCCCGAGCGCGCCATACTCAAATCAGCCAATGACGATACTCTGACCTGTGACGTAATGATTACTTAGGATATGACATCATTTGTCGGGAGGGAGAAGAGAAAGCAAGCTTGAGCAATGATAATTTATTGCAAATTCCAGGCCGCCGGCTGCGCTGTAATATTTGGATAGCGTGGTGTCCTCGAGGGCCCCGACTTCCGATCGGCAGCGTTTTCTATGTTGAACAAGTGTTGCAGGGCTCCCTTTAACACACCTCGGGGTGGCAACCTTAGCCCAAGCCACGGCCTCGCTCATAGCATTCTTCCGTATTAAAAATAGGTCTGAAACGTGCTCTTGTTTC